TGTGTGTGTGTGTTTGCGTGTACGTGATTATGTGTGTGTGTATTTGTGAGCTTGTGCGTATATATATATATATATATATATATGTATGCATGTATGTATATACGAGAATTTCGAACGTTTGTGAAGTGATGCTGTGTAAGAAGAATATGTTCATATATCATTAAAAAAAATAACAAAAAAAGACCAGAGCGAGCTGGATCGTGTTCTGTAGCCGAATTCATAAAAATTGGCAACTACTCATATTTCACGATATAACGGCGGTTCGTGGCCATGCATGTGGTCGTGTGATTTGTGTATGTCGACAAATACTTTCAAATACACAACAGTTTCAACCTGTGACAAAATGCCTTGGTGCGGACATACCTCTGCTGCGCCTCAGCTCCCCATAGGCGGATCTGACGATCGTAGAGGGTAGTTTCGTCTTCATTCATGATGGCTTATAGGCTTAACTGTGTGTATCCAAGCTTCTCTATATATGCAATCACTTGTGAGATAGGATAACCACTGAATACCACAGTAAATGCGGTGTCTTTATTTTTTTATTTTTTTATTTATGTGCCGGTGTAGTTGCCGGTGTTGTTTTCTGTTGTACTGTAAAATAACTTTGTAGCTTATGTATCTATTCTACTTCCTGTACCCACAGACCCACACTCATACTCTCATAGTCATAGACCACAGTCTCTCAAACTCCAGACTCCAAAGTCCAGCCCCATGGCCCGTGGTCCGTGGAACCGAGGCAAAACATAGGCCAATAGCAATCAGCCTATTCGGGCTTTTAGATGCCGCTAACCTTTTGGCGACAAATCTGCATTGATATGTACTCCATAACATGTCATGTTGTGAAGTTGTCAATATTGTGTCAATAGTGAGTCATGCATGACTCATGACAAATAAATATCTTGTGCATTTCCTGTCGTTTTTGGTCACTACATGGAATATGACTGTTTATTGTACGTTACCGAAAGGGGATGTGTGTCTGTGCGAGAGAAAGTTGATTTGCTCTACATATACATTACATTCGATAGTTCTTCCAGCCCTTGCTTTATATACAATGTCATCATTTTCCGTTAACTGTGAGAGATATTTATTCAAGATATACAGTAATTTGTGTGAAAATCAATGCATTTTTTTTTACGTGTGACTTGACACACATATAGAGGTGTGACCAAACGGGCCTAATAAACCAGAACTTGATATGTAATTAACCACAACTGCCTTCGGGTCTAAACCCACATGTATGTCAGTATTGTTCTTATTTTAATTCATCATGCTTCTGAGTGCCAGTAATTGATTCCTTCTCCAGCTTAATGGGAGTGTGTTACCTGTTTTGAAAGCTATACTAGCACGCTTACAAGCTTCAGCAGCACAGATTGGCGCCGGTTGACGAATTTGTAGTCTAGTACACCACTACTTATATAGGAATGTATTGAATGACGAAATTGCTCAATATTGGCATAATAATAATCCCTACTTTGTAGTCCGCCTTCGCGCCATTTGCTTTTTGTATAAGCATGCGACTATAATTATGTATCCCTTGTGTAGTTCCAAGACAGCTCGCAATTCTAACTCAGCGGATATTTAGTTCTGTGAAATAAATAAACATATTTCACAGGCACAGTAATCATCGTATCGGTATGAAGAGAGAGCCCTATTCCAGAACGCCTTGTATAAATCTGAAGTGGTAGTTGGCGAAGCTCACACTCTGTCAACCTATCGAGCTGTGTACACCGAATAGCTTGTTTTGTTCACATGGGCTGCAGGCTAGTGGACTGTGGGTGATGCAAGTTACGATTAATGAGGTGCACACTAAAAATAAACGTCGTGCGAACATCCATAGTGGACCTATCCGGTAGAAAACAAAAACGTTGAAGATACCATCTATGAAGATATGTAAAAATACAAATGGCAGGCGCGACGACACTTCGATACGAGCACAAATCGACACTCGATGCTAATCAACATCGAGATCCCAATACCTTCGAATCGATATATAATAGTGACATGCAATAAACGTGTTATTTGATAAAACTCATAGGTGTGATGAGAACACATTGGTATATAGATGCAAACAGCACACCTCCCTAACAAGCACTCGGCATCGCTGACCCTGGTAAGAGCTCAGCATAGTCAACGCACTCCAAACCTTCCGCACATCACTGTTGAAAAGGTATAGGCAGGAGGATAGATAGTAAGTATTTGTCAAGTGACGAGTCGATATATACATTCTAACCGTAGAAACAACCCGGATTCTGAACTTGGCGTTTACTGGTATAAATATCGCAAACTACACTGTATCCCATGTAAATACATGCAATCAGTACACATACCGAAACTACTCTGTTTCAGCAAAGAACAGTCAGTTAGATCGTACAGACATCAAGTGTACGGTGTCAAAATTACACGTAAACAAGCCCAGACACAATTTTAAAGTCGCAAAGGGGAAAAATTGGCAAGCAAGTGATGTATATCTGATAAACACAGTATGGTCTGTCCGATAAGATTGGTATTCATGCTCTTATGTGCATATATTTTGTGTACTTACACGGTGACATTCTCTATATCATCGTTTACTACAGACATACCTTTTATGTACCTCTATGGTAACATTTTCTATACTAACATCCATCTCGGTGACCTGGACAGTAATGGATGCCCCTACACTGCCATGTAATTGCTGCAGAGCAAATTGAATGATGTCAGTCACATTTTCCGCTTCTGTTAGACGGTTGGCACTTTCAAAGTCTCTGTAAAATGAGGACGATATATATTAAAAGGGAAGGTCAACATTCGATAAGCTCGCCGCACACGACTGATATTATGTTGACTCATGACTCCTACTTGGGCATATACGAGAAAGCCAGCATAGGGTCACATCGGACCAAAAGCTGAAAGATGGTCAGATATTAACTAATAGTTGTTGTTTCGCTGATGCTACATACATTCTCAATTTCAATGCATGGCTGTCCTCCATAATATCTGAGAACTTCTGGTGCGATAGGTCCGTTGCTGGGCATACAATTTATGGTGTATTCATATTATTGATAAATACATAACTTGAATCATACATAAAATAGAGACGCTTTATAAATCATACGACCATAAACAGAGCCTTCTGAATCATACACCATAGCCGGGTTTTTTTGAGAACGCGATGATACGACGGACATTCTCAAAATTGGCTGCCTCGGAGGCTCGGCCTCGGGTGAGTCTCGAACCTGTGCCAACTGCCTAGAGCATGTGAAATTTAAAAAAATAGACCGTTCCAAAATAATCGGCAAACGAGTTTTAACTTTTACCCCCCAGAGAGAGTTGCTGTGTAAATAGTGTTGCACCACAGAGAGCTTATAACATATGAGCCGGCAAATTGAACTGTGCTGGCAAAAAATGATAATAAATTTAAAGTGATGTATGTACTGATGTAATAAATACTCATTGCAGATACATAGCAGTCAAACACCCATCTGCAACAGCACAGCACAATATACATCAACATAACATGAGTGCAGTGGAACCCACCATCGAAGAACCAGTTGATCTGGTAAAGCTCAGTTTAGATGAACGCATTCTGGTCAAGTTAAGAGGCGACCGCGAGCTCAAAGGCAAATTGCATGTATGTCAACCCTTATTGAAGAAATACGTTCCCAAGCCTATCGACTTTTGTTTTGAAATAACGAAGTATGCAAGACAAAATGAGTGTCCCTATATGCAGATCTGTGTATGTTACCTCCAACATATAGGGATGCGAATGTATCCAGTGTAAACGCACTAACCTGCTCGTGATTTATTTGCATATAGTCATATAGATATATATATATATATATATGTGTGTGTGTGTGTGTGTGTATGTATGCATGAATAATAAATCTATATATATATATATATATACTTGTCGTAGAATATATATATATATATATATACTAGTAGAGTA